AGGCTACTCAATTTTGATAGGAGCTGTGGGCCAAAGGCTCAAAGTGTGGTGTACGGAAGCCACTCACAGATTAGAGAAGGCACGGCCCGGGCTCTGCCACTTTCCCTCCGGAGAGTGGGATTTGATGTCTCAAACAGACCACCCCATAGGAGCCTGGGTTCTCAGGTTCCTTTTGTTCTTAACTAGGTATTGATCTTGGTCAAGTAAACTAACTACTCTCACCAAGACTGTAAATTAGGCACATAATACCTTATCTGCCTAAATGGAAGCTGGATCATGTGGTTTCTTGGAATTTCAGGGGTTCCAAAATTCCTCATACAGTGATTCTTAGACCTCTAGGTCCTAAATTTCCCATGACTGGTACTTTTTCAGGTTGCCCAATCCAGCCTGGAACCACTTCAGTGTACCCAGATTACTGGCCTTACAGAGCTGGAGGCAGAAGCTGTGGTTTCTGTGCCACTTCTCATTCTCCTGACCATCTTTTCCCTTAGCATACATTCCAAAGAAGGCAGCCCCCAAGGCACGGGCCCCCCGCCGGCGTCAGCGTAAACCCCAGAGACCTCCTGTTCCTGAGGCACCCAAGGAGATCCCACCAGAAGCTGTGCAGGAATATGTTGACATCATGGAAGAGCTGGTGGGAACTCACTTGGCCACTGGGGAGTCAGATGGAAAACAGGAAGAGGAAGAAGGGCAGCGGCAGGAAGAGGAAGGGATGTATCCAGATCCAGGTCTTCTGAGCTACATCAACGAGCTGTGTTCTCAGAAGGTCTTTGTCTCCAAGGTGAGCTGGGCCTGCATATCTGGTTTCTAGCAGATCCTTGGGGTGGATACTCCCGGGAACTAATGCTTTGGGGTTTGTCCAAGATAGTAGGAGTTAGGTTTTATTCCGTAACTGAGAAATGTGTGTGCATGCATCATCATGAGAATGTGTATAGTTGGTGGTAGTCAGTTTACAACAGTACCAGGGAGTTAAGAGGGGACAGCTGGGGAGCTCATGGCTTCTTCTCTAAAGCCCCTTGCCTCACAGGTTACTGGCTTAAGGACTCATATCACTTTTCCTTCTGTTCTCCAGGTGGAGGCTGTCATTCACCCTCAATTTTTGGCAGATCTGCTGTCCCCAGAAAAACACAGAGATCCCTTGGCCTTAATTGAGGAGCTAGAGCAAGAAGAAGGACTCACTTTTGCCCAGGTAAAAATGGGATATAGGGAATATCAGGACAAGAAGCTTGCAAAACGTTATCTAACCCTACACTGTCATGGACAATATGGCTCTAGAGATGAACAGTTTCAGAATTGGGCTTCAGGTGCAGAACAAATGGGTAGAGGGCTCTGGAAACACAGGACATGAGAATGCAAGGGTTCAAAGCATGGGAATAAGGCACAAGAAGATGGGAAAGAGCTGCAGTATCTGTCTTTGCTACCATCGCTTAAACTACTTGCTTGCCTTCCTTGCCCTGCCCAAATACCATCTCTTACCACTCATTCAGTTACCTCTTCTCACAACCATGTGCAGAACTGATTATTTGTCCATTTTCTTCCAGCTGGTCCAGAAGCGATTCTTGGCCTTGGAAGAGGAGGAAGATGTGGAGGCGTCTCCAGGTTACAGTGGAGCTCAGCTGGAGTCAAGTCCTTCTGTTTCTGATGAGGATGAAGATGGGGGTGGGCGGTTTCAGCCCTCACCTCGGCTTCAGGGGGCTGGGGGCGCTGTTCGCCTCGGAAAGATTTCTTCTTCAGGAAAACGGGCAAGAGAAGTGCATGGTGGGCAGGAGAGATCCCTAGATAGCCCCAGAGAGATGCACAGGGATGGGAACACACTGCCAGCCCCCAGCAGCTGGGACCTGCAGCCAGAACTTGCAGCTCCACAGGGCACTTTGGGATCCTTGGGTATGGAGAGGAGAAGGTCTGGGAAGGTTATAAACCAGGTACCTCCACATCAGGATGGCCACCTAGGAGGTGCTGGGTCTCCTGGGCACTGCCTGGTGGCTGATAGGACTTCAGAGGCTCTGCCCTTTTGCTGGCAGAAAAGCTTCCAGCCCAAGAGCACTCCCAGTTTGGATGTTGGACTTGCAGAGCTGGCTCCTCTGCAAGGACAAGGGTTAGAAAAGCAAATCCTGGGACTGCAGAAAGGAGAACAAACAGGGGGTCGTGGAGTGTTTCCTCAAGGGAAGGAGCCTTTGGCAGTGCCCCAGGAAGGCTCTTCAGGAGCCATGTGGGGAGATGACAGAGGTACCCCCACAGCTCAGAGTTATGATCAGAATCTTTCCCTTAGGGCAGCTGGGGACAAGGACGAAGTCTCTGTTAGCCCAGGACTCTGGCTGAGCAGTGGGATGGATACTGCAGGCTTGGAGCTGTCCATACAAATAGAAGAGGTCATAGAGAGCTTCCAAGTTGAGGAGTGTGCGACTGAATATCAGGAAGGCTGCCAGGGACTGGGCTCCAGGGGCATTTCCCTGGGTCCTGGAGAAGCCATAGTACCTGGGGACACAGACAGCAGTGTGATTCCCTGTGGAGGCACAGTTGCAACAGCTGCCCTAGAAAAGGGAAATTATTGCAGCTTGCCAGGACCTTTGAGGGCCAACAGCTTGACCTCGAGGTCCAAAAAAAATCGAGAACAAAGCCATGAAACCATAGGGGATCCCAATGATCTGTGGGCAGAAGGTTGCTTGCCATTGCTGGAAAGCAGAATTGGTGGTTCCACACTGGGGTCTGCCAAAGAAACCCTCCAGCCCACATGCCAAGGCAATCTCCTTATCATGGGGACCCAGGATACCTCCTCCTTGCCTGAAGCCAGTCAAGAGGCAGGGAGCAGAGGCAATTCCTTTTCTCCTCTGTTGGAAACCCCAGAACAGGTCAACATACTAGATGTTAAATATGACTATGGCCTCCAACGAAGGGTCAGCGAGGACACCCGCCCACTGAATGTTCATTCTTATGACCCTGAAGGAGAAGGTGGGGTGGATCCTGATCTATCCAAGCCTAAAAACCTTGCTCCTTTACAAGACAGTCAGGAGTCTTACACAACTGGGACCCTCAAAGCAACATCTCACCAGGGCCTTGGAAGCGCTTCCCCTAGATGGGGAACCAGGGATGCCATAGTTCTGAGAGAAACTTCTGTTAGTAAAACACATAGGTCAGCAGATAGGGCCAAAAGAAAGGGGAAAAAGAAGGGGAAGGAAACAGAGGAAGAGGATGAGGAACTCTCCAACTTTGCTTATCTCTTGGCCTCTAAACTTAGCCTCTCACCAAGGGGGCGTCCTGTCAGTCCTCACCATACCTCAGGAGGTCAGGGCAGGCAGAGAGCATCCCACCTGCTCTCTTCTGAGGCAAGAGGCTCCAGCAAACCACCAAATCCAGTTGCCAAGTCTGGGAAGCGAGCTCTAGTTGGAGGTCCAGCCCCTACTGAAAAGAGACCCCACTCAGGAGCTCAACTTGGGGTCCGCGGGGAGAAACCCCTAGCTCTGGGAGTAGTTCGACCCTCAAAGCCTCGTAAAAGGCGGCGTGACAGTTTTGTCACGGGCAGAAGGAAGAAACGACGTCGTGGGCAGAAGGAAGAAACGACGTCATAGCCAGCAGGGAGCAGCAGGACCATCTGACCCCACTTGCCAGTCCCTAAAGGTGGGTGCCCCAGAGTAGATTCCACCCACTGCTGCTCACCAATGGAGAATCCCAATGTTGAATCTCAGCCCAATGTTGTTTTGTTGTTCTGCAAAAGTGGCAAGCATGGAGAGGAGAGGTCAGACTGGCTAGGCTGCAGGGGGAATTACCTTTGGAAGGAGTTATATAGAAAAAAAAAAAACGAATAAAGTTTTTTTGGAAAATGCAATCAAAGTGCCCTTTTTCTGTACTCATGTCTTTGCTGCTAGATAGGGTAAGATGCTATAAAGAAAGGCTGTAGGGGTAGTCTTAGATTCTACAGATCCATGAATCTTACCTTGTCTCCAGCCTTATCTGGGCTCCCTGCAGCCTCCTCTTGGCAACAGACTGGCTCTCAAGTCCCCAGACTGAGGAATCTCAATGATCACTTTATATATCCCCTCTTCGCAAGCCTGGACTTGGTGTTGGGAAGGCTTATCTGGGTGTCCTATAATTATCTGCCTCCCTTTAAGTCTATAGATAGAAAGATGCTTTTTTATCTGTTAGATCTCTGAGATAGTGATCTAATTTTCTTTCTTCTTTTTTTGAGACAGGGTCCCATTCTGTAGCCTGGACTACAGAGTACAGTGGTACAATCATGGCTTACTGTAGCCACAACCTCCTGGGCTTAGACAATCCTCCCATCTTAGCTTCCCAAGTAGCTGGGACTATAGGTGTACACCACCATGTCCAGCTAATTTTTCTATTTCTTTTTGTTTTTGTAGAGACAGGGTTTCACCATGTCACCCAGGCTGGTCTTGAACTTCTGGGCTCAAGCCATCTGCCTGCCCCAACCTCCCATAATGCTGGGATTACAGGCATGAACTACTGTGCCCAGCCTAATTTTCTAATTGTACATAATTGTGTCCAGACAAAGTACCTCTAGGGGGCCTTGTTTCTTCTTTGAGAAGAGGCTGGACAGACAGAACTTCAGTGTCCTTACTCATCTTGTGGCAGAGAAACCCTCCTGTGTGGCTGGTCTGACCAGCAGGGAGGAGGCTGGTTCCTTACAGACACGGCTCTGTGCTTCCACTAGGAGTGATGGAATCAAGTCTCAGTAGGATTATTAAATATGGAATGGTAGCAAGCTATTTTTTAATCTCTAATGAGGGCAGAACAAGAGGGAATGAGCTGAAAAGAAGTTCATGAGGAAGTCTGTTAAAATGTACATAGAGAGATGACAGCAGGAGGGGAGGATATGGAGTCTCAGTAAGATTTCTGTGCAGGAAAGAGCCCTATCCATCTGAGAGTGAGGAAGATTCATCCAACTGTGGCCAAGAGATGAACCTTGGAAACGTTTGGGATCTTCCAATGGGTGTCCTACAGCCATTCATCCCTCTCCTTCCAAAGTAATGATAGCATCAATGTGACTGGACTTCATTTTTTTTAATAGATATAGATATATATTTATATTTATATATAAAATAGTTTCTTACAAAAAAATCAACCAAACAAAAAATTAAAATCAACATAAAAAAAACAAAAAAAAACAAACAACAATAACAAAATTCAAACAGGAGCAGAGATGGGGCTGAGGCCTAGGGGAGGCCCCTGGCGCTGCCCTGAGGAGGAGGGGGTGAGAGGCTGAGGTGCTCAGTCTCCCTTCTGCTTGGGTGCTTGCACAGTCCCGTTGGCCAGGGCAGTGGGGCTGCCTGGGGATGAGGCATTTGGTGTCTGGGAGGTGCCTCGAGAGGTGTGTGGGGGGCGCAGGTAGGTGCTGAAGAGCTTCCCATAGAGTGGGTCATGGAGGGAGAAGTTCTGGAACTGACCTGGACAAATCAGAGTGAGATGGGGAACAGTGAAAAGATCTAAGAATGAGAAGAGGATCCCCCTGCCCTTTTCTCAGAACTAAAACATCTTGTCCCTCTACTTTGTTTAACTTCTCAAATCCAGGTTTTTGTCCTCTCTTCTTCTAGCTTGTTCCTCCCAGCCACACTGCTCATAGGTTCTGATCTCCAGCACTGGCCACTAACCCTTGTTCCCTCACAGCCCAGTGCTTTCCCTGGTGCCTGCCCCAGATGCCTTTGTGGGGCTGAGAAGGCAGTGACTCACAGAGGGAGAGGCCTTGGCTGGATCCTGCCTGGCAGAGCTCAGCATGCAAAGCTGTGGCAGCAGGGCGGGGTGAACCCAGCAGCAGGTGCAGGATGGTGCTGAAGCCGTCTTTGTACAGCAGGCGTTTGGGTCCCTCGGCTTGCTCTTCAGCAAAGAGCTGGGAGACAAAGGGATGCAAGTCAAGTTCTCTCCTCATGCCATGGCCTCACCCTGCCCCACAGAATGGCCTGACAGTCTCCTCCTCTTCCAAAAGGGTGGTGCACAAGCCTTCCCTGACCCTCAGTGTCATTTCTGCAGAACTGTAGACTTTATAGCTTTTTCCTTCTTCTTGTTCCCAGTTAGGCCTCAACATAGAGGCTGAGGCTCTGCAGTTTTAGGCAGTGTGGCACTAGGTTGGATACCAAGTGCCTGCTATCTAGAAGCTACTGGAAACAGCATACCGAACAGGCCTCCTGGAGTGGGGTGAGCATAGCCACTAAGTACCCCCTCTACCCCTCAGTACCTCAAAGGCCAGACGAGTCAGCTCTTCCAGGCTCCTGCCCCCATCCAGAGCTGCTAGTGCAAGGGCCACATCTCGGAAGTCCACCAAACCCTGGGTATCCTGGTGTGAAAAAGAAACCAGGGCAATGTGGGGACCCTGTACCCTGCTTCCTGCTCTTTGGATTTTGGCTCCCCCTCTTCTCAGCAGATAATGGGGTGACCCCTGTGACTGCTACCCTCAGAACTGTGAGCCCCAAACTCTTTAGGATGCCTGGAATTTCTCTCAGGTCATAGGCTTTCTCAAGCTATACCAGGTCACGTGGTGACAAAGCCCTCCCATAAAGGGATATCCTAGGACTGTAAGGGAATCCCTCAGGAATGCTGCAGGTACTATGAAGTTTCTGACATGCCAGCGGAGGGCACTCCTAGTCCCCAGGCTAGACAAACTGGTTCTCTCTGACTCGGCCTATGTAGAAGAATGGGTCCAACAGATTGAAAGGGGGTCATTGGCATAATTTCTTATGAAAAACACAAGGATGATGGCTGCTGTTCCAGCTCCACGGGGGACCATGGCATTTGAATTTTTGTTTCTGCTCTGCTACAGGCCAAATAGAGAAAGCTCTTTTCAGGGACAGTCTGTCTCAATCTAAGGAATCGAGACACCTGGTCACTCTCTGTCCCTTCAGAGGATGTTGAGAGTCACATTCTGCATCTCGATCAAAAAGCTCCTTGGGACCACTGTTGGTTGTTAGTAAGCATTAAGAATCCTTTAGGACTTTTGTAAGTTGATCGGGGAACTTGGTTAAATCTTGAGAAATACATGGGCTTGCTAAGAATCTTGAGAAAACTCCTCTAGAGAAGCTATAGAATATTTAAAAGAATCTGGCCAAGTCCCGCAGATGCATCTGGGTCTCAAGCTCTCTACCACCTCACCTGTCCAGTGATGTTTCTTCTACGTGTCTTCTTCACACGTAACCTTCATGACTCTTCTTCAAAGACCCTCACCCAGTGTCTCACAAAGTCTTATCATTCCTCACTTTTGCCAATCTCTAAAGTGGTTTCAGAAATTTATAGTCCTCACTGATTATTTCTCCCTTGTTCCTCCTCATGATGATGATAACATTGCTTTTCAATGCACTGGATGCTTGATTAAAAAATGAATCTTCAGTGGATCTCAGGGGATGACCATCTAACAGCTGTTAGAACATCCACTGACTCCAAACTGTGAGTGACTGATACGGCCACTAGGAACATGTCAGCCTGGAGGGAAGCCTGGGTTCTGCTCTGCTCTGTGTTCTAGCTCCTTTACCTGCTGGAAGTAGCCAAAGGCACCAGCCACCGTCTGAGGATCGGAGAGCTGTAGCTGCCTGGCAAACTCTTCCTGGCTGATCATTCGACTCCGGCCTGGCTCTGCCCCAATGTCCACATAGCCAGGGGACAGCCTACAATGGAATTGTTGAAGGCAGAGAGCTGTCTCAGTTTCCTTCTGGACACACCATCCAGCAGGGCTTTAGCCCCAGTACCAACAGTTCTACCAGCACAGGTTCAGCTGCTGTTTTCCTAAGATGGACTCAGCGAGTCCCTTAACAGTCCTTCTTACTTTTTTCACCTGACTTATTATATATCCTTCCATTTATTTCCCCCCTTCCTTTTATTTACTCCATTATCTTTTTCCCCAGTTTTTTTCATTTTTAAGATTTTCCTTCCTCCTCATTTCTCCGCTTCTTATTCTCTTTCTCTCTCTCTCTCTCTGTGACACTGCTCACACTCCCACTTTCAAGACCACTTACCCAGTCTTCTGAAGCACTTTTCCCAGTTCCCAGAGCTGTGGCTCCAACGCCACCTTCAGCCGTCCCACCACAATCACAGGTAAGCTCCCTACAAACTCACATTCGGTGGCTGGAATGCCCAGAGCCCTACAGGATGAACAGGAATGGGATGGAGGGGAAGGAAGCAGAAGAAACTTCTAAGGGTTCGTTCCTGACTCTGGCCCACTGGCTGGAAGAATTGATCAGGCCCCTTTAAATCTCCCCTTCTCCATCTCAGCTGTCCAAGAGCCCTTCTCACAGCCTGCTCCTCAATCTTTGCTTGAAAACCTCGCCCCCCCTCCACCCCCTTGTGGTTCCTTTGCCCTGTGTAACTGCTCCAGGAAATACTTTGTGGGGCACTCACTGTGCCATGACCCTCTGAACGTTGTTGGCATACAGGGTGGGGTCCTTGCTCTCCTCAGGACTGGGGTGATACACAGGAAGGAACTAAAACAGACACACAATTCTTATCAGAACCTCAAAGTGAGGTATGACCATTCCCACCCTCCTTCCCAAGGTTTCAGAGGTATGAGACGTCCATTCTCCCACCCCACCAATGAGGGCCATACCTCCACATCCACAATGCTGCAGGGCTGAGAGGCTGTGAGCCAGAGGACTTTGAGTCTAAGAGAAGAGAGATTTCAATGCTCACCAATCTCTAACTATGGGTTCCTTCCCTGGCTTCCACACCGCACTATCCTCCCCCAACCCAGGTGGGGAGTGGGAAAAGTTCTGCCTATTGATATAGGGATGGACTCCTAGCCATACAGTCAGCTGGGTGAATATGCAGTTGGGAGATACAAGGAAGGGCCAGAAATGTGGTAGGGAAAGAGAGCAGAGCTGCATGGATATGCCAGAGGAAGAGCTGTGGGCCAGAGGAGGTGTGAGTAATGGAAGAAAAAGGCAAGGGCATGCCCGATAGTGATGATTCTCAAGAAGGGAAAACCGAGGGAGAAAAATCACAGACACATGGGAAAATAAGTGCATAGGAGCCATAATTACAGTAGGAACAATTTAGGTGGGATAGCTAATCTAAGCATTGCCAGATTATATGGGGAGATCAGGGTAAAAGTGGCATCTCCTTTAGAGTTCTCTTGGTCCTAAGATGAAGAAGGCCATTCACCTTGTCTGGAGATTGGAAGACAGGCAGGAATTCTCTGATGGACCCTGCACCCCACCCTCACCCCTGGAAATACCAGAACTCACACTCCAGGACCCCTCCATGCCCAGCTGGTGGTGTCCTATGGGAGAAACAGGTGAGGGCATAAGAGCATTACTTTTTCCCCCTGGAACTGGCCAATCACCTTTGAGCAGAGGGCCTGATCCCACCTCTGGTCACACCCCCAATGCACATCCCATCATAGCACCAACAGTTTACACTTATTTCCATTTGGAGTGGATTTGTGCTCCCCCTTTCCACTCTTTCTTGGACTCAGACTCACCAGACTGTTGGGGTAGCGGATGAGGACAGGCTGCACAGGCACTCCTGCAATGAAGGCTCCTAAATCCCATTTCCACCCCCACCCCCACAAGGCAGAGGTTAGTACACAGAAGTAGCTAGAGGGCATGAAGTATGGAGGTCTGGGACAGTTCTCAAATGAGCTATGGCCTTGCTCCACTCATTGATAATTTTTTCTCTGACTCCCCAACTTATCAGCATTAGCTAGGAGGTTCCCGGTCTCCCTTCCTTCCTCTCCTATCCCTCCTGCTCTTCCATTTCTTGGGTTATTTCCGAGTCCCTCCCCAAATCTGGAACTTCTTTTTCCTACAGCTCACCACCCACTATCATTTTATTCACCTGGTTTGAACTTAAGCAAAGCCTTCTTGTTGGAACAGGTGCCTTCTGGAAAGAATAGCACCTGGGGGGAACAAAAGAGCTGAATGAGGTGAAGAAGGCTGAAGGCTGAGGAGAGAGGAAAGGGAAGTCTCTTCAGGAGGACATGGAAAGTGAGGAGATGATCTTGAGACCCTTACTCACCTGTGGCCACTTGCCCCCTGAGGTGGCCCGCCTTCGGACCTCCTCCACCACTCTGCGACGAGAAGCCGGGTCATGCCGGGATACTAGGATGGCTTGGTTGAATCGAAGCAGGGCTGGGGTTTGGAAAGGATATGAAGAGGAATCACTTCATTCTTACCCAGGGGCAGTAACATCTGCAGTCTCCACCCTCTCAACAGTATGAGAAGTTTCTGCTAGCTCTTTGCCCTGGGGCAATCCCTTTATAGCAGCTGTCCTTTTAGAGAACTGACCAGAACTCCCTCTAATACCTCTCTGTCCCAGCCCTCCAAATCTAAGACTGGTTGACTAATGGTGGTAATTTATATTTCATTTGCCAACAGTCCCTCCCACTTGAGGCCAGTTCTTCTCTCCAGTGTCTCCATTGCTGACTTTTTTTTGCCCAGAGTTGTCACCCTTCCCCTTCACGACCCCGTTTGTTTGAACTCTCTCACCTCCAATGACAGGAACGGAAAGGTTCTCAGCTCGGGATACAACTTTGGGCAAGTCACAGGGCAGCAGAACAATGGGGTCAAAGAAAGTGGAGTGTGGGGCAGCAACAAGGACAGGGGCTTGAAGGCGAGACGCTCGCTGGCCCCGAACGCGAATCCGGAGGAAGCCCAGCAGGAAAAAGAGCAGGCGGCTCAGGCCCAGCACCCCATTGTGGCACACAGTCCTAACCAGGGCAAGGTTGGGTATCAGCGGAAGCAGTGGTTCTAACCCTCACCCGCCCCCAGGTTCAGGCACCGGGGAAGTAGGGCACCTCTCTTTTACCCTTAAATAGGATGTGACCAAGGGGCCAAGGTCTCTAGCCACTTTGGGACACATCAGGGCATTACTTACAGGTGAGGTCTGGGAACCAGATCTGAGCTTGGCTGACTCATTCACCCAAGTTAAATAGAATAGTTTCAGAATCCTCCCTTTTCTTCTTCTCAAAGAGGGAGGGGAATAGACAGCAGGGAAGAGAAGTAGGGTCTCTGGGGTCTGACCTCCCACTTACTTCCTCCATCCTGTAATTGGCTCCTGAAGCTGCTCCTCACTAAGTCCGGCCACTTGCAGCCAGGCAAAGGGCCAGAGGAGAAAGAGGACGATAAAGGCCAGAAGCACTCGGATGGGGGCCAGCAGTGCCCCCAGGAGGCAGAACTGCAAAGGGTGGGAGAGAATGCCACTTTAGGGCTTGGATATGCTCCCTCCACAGCATCTCTCTCCCACAAAGGAAAGACCCAGGAGCAGACAGCCATCATCCCTTGCAGGTGATAGGTGGTGTGGGAACAGGAGAGACGACTGGGACCCAAGGTGGGCTAAAGATACCAATGAGGGCAAGAGGATAAAAGATTAATGGGATCAAAGGCCTTATTTTCCTATCTCTCAGTTGGTCCCTACCCCACCTATAAAACCGAATGTCATAAAATGCATCTAGCACTTAGAAGATTTAATAAGAATGCATGCGAAAGTGCAGGGTGCTGTGCTTGATGTACAGTAGGTTAGAGATAGGTCCTCCTCCCCCACATCTTATTCCATAAATAGCTCCTATGCCCAACAGAAACCAGGTGCACAGATCTTTCCACTTTGGGCCTAGTACACAGAGGGTTGTAAATACGGAGAGGTCCAGTTTTCAGGCCCGAGGTCAGTTTCTAGTACTGCCCAACAGCAATCCCATACTACTGGGGGATACGGGAGACAAGAGCTCGGCCCCACTCCGCGTGGAAGAGGTTGCCGGGAGCCAGGCTGACTCCATAGGCTGCCTTGGGGAAGGAGCAGGCAAACAAACCTAGCCCCTGGAGCCTGCCTCTGGGGAGGTGATGACAGCAGAAACCTTGGACACTCCCTCCCCACACCACCTCGCAGTGCCTCAAGGCTGGCGCGGCCCTACACTTCCTGTAGCCAACCCCCTTCTCAGCCTCCCTGCCCCCACCGGGAGGTGCTGCAGTGCGGGGTGGAGGGGGTTTGGAGGGAGTGGGAAGAGGGGGTGTACGAAGGGCACAGGGTCACAGGCTCCCGGCCCAGAAACGCCTTCCGTCTAAGTCATGCCCCGGAGGAGAACTCGGCACGCCCCCGCCCCCACCCCCGGCTTCCCGTAGCCTCTAACTCCATCCTAGCCGTCAGCCTCCGCAGGATGTAATCCGCATTCCCCAGCGTCCTTCATCTCTCCAACCCCTGGGTCCCCTGCAGCTCTTCATCCCCACCTACTCCGTTCTTCCACACCTTCGAGCTGTCTAGAGCCCAACCCCGCAGCGTCCTCTCCAGGACTCCTTGCCCACCCCCGGCCGCCCCCACGTGCGCATCCCCGGACTCCCGCTCAGCAAGCCTCTCAGCCATCTCCTTCTCAAGGATCCCCAAGCCCACCTTTGCCAGGGCTCAAACGGCCCCATTTTCCTATCCCCACGGGTCCTCCCGACGCCCACTCCCCACACATTACCTTAACCCTCTGGAGGCGGGAGAGATGTAATTCATGTACGAAGGGGTTTGGGGGGGCTGGGGGTCCGGGGGTGGGATCGAGGGGGACCCAGTCCCCCGGACTTCCCTGGCTCATGGCGGGAGAAGGTGGGAGGGAGGGCACCCCGGCCCCGGCCCCGGCCACCACTCTGCAGAGCAGCTGCTGCTGCAGCAGCGGCAGCGCTCTGGCCCGGGCCCCGCCTGGTGCGGGCCGCCGAGAGGCGGGGAGCAGGCGGCGCAGCCCAGCCCGCCCGCGTTGTCAGGGCGCCGGCCGAGGGGCGGGGCTTCCAGGGCCGGGGCGCCCCTGCTCCTTCGCGTTCGCCGCGGCGCCGGCAGCCCTTGGGCCACTGTTCCGCGGCGGCCAGGGCTGGAGCGGGCTGCCCCTGGGCTTCGGCCCCTCTGTCGTTCCTGTCTGGAGACCCCTGGCCTCAGCTTCGGAGCGGGAGTGGGTCTGGGAGCTGGCACGGAGCTCAGAGCGCCCTCGGTCCCCGCCCGGGCGTCCAGGTCACCCAGCGAGCGCAGATCGGGGTGGGGCCCTTGAGTTGGTGGGCAGGCAGGGACAGGTGGGCCGGGTGCGGACGCCGGCAGCTCAGGGGTGAGGTGGGAACCCGCTCTGCCTGTGGGCTTCCTGGCCCGGTCCGCACCTCCTCGCAGGCGGACCACCTTTCCTTCCCGGTCCGGGGAACGCCCTCGCGCGGGGACTTGAGGCACTTGAGTCCTCTGGCGGCTGCATGGCGCCCCGCAACTCTGCACCTCCGCGTCCTGCCTGCGCTAGGCAGGGCCGCCTTTACTGGTGTGAAAGTTGCTTGAATCCCTGAGGCGCCAGGAACCCCCAGTACACTGGCCCATGTGTTTCCCATGAGCCCGACAAGGCCTCGCTGGCAAGAGGCAGTGGTTCTGATCTCCGTCCCTCTCTGGGTGAACACAGAGGACACAGTAGTAATTCCCCTCATCCGCAAGCTCCAAGCTACCCTACTCTGTAGCCTCAGGCCATGGTGAGATCCGGGACCAGGGAATTAGGTGGACCCTGAGATCCATTGCCATGACAAAAGGGGTAAGAGTCTCACTGCTTGAGGAAAGAATCTGCTCTAAGTTCACTTTATTTCTTCTGCCTAGTGAATGGCATTTAGGGCAGCTGAAGGAGAAAGTGAAAGAAAAAGATACTTCTCATAACCAAGAGTGTTTGCCGCCACTGGCTTCTCCTTTAAACCAAACTCCAGATTAATTAATTAATTTCTGCTCCAGGAAATTTTCTGAGCCCAGGCTGAGAGGGTTGAAGGCTCATGCATCCTACTGAGAGTAGGAGCTGCACTGGGATATTTTTTTATATAACACGGAGGAGGTCCCAACACAAATACATCATTTCCAAATTTTATTTTTGTAAAGATAGGGTCTCGCTATGTTGCCCAGGCTGGTCTTGAACTCCTGGTCTCAAGTGATCCTCCCACTTCGGCCTTCCAGAGTGCTGGGACTACAGGTGTGAGCCACAGTGTCCAGTCCAAACTTTTTTTCTAAGCAGATGATTTCAGCTTTGTACATTCTCAACAGAACGGAGAAAGTACAACTTAATTTATTAATCTCCCTTGCCTTTAGGGAAAAGGATGGATGGGTGTGTGTGTGTGTGTGTGTGTGTGTGTGAGAGAGAGAGAGAGAGAGAGAGAGAGAGAGAGATGGAGTTTCACTCTTGTTGCCCAGGCTGGAGTGCAATGGCGCAATCTCGACTCACTGTATCTTCTGCCTCTTGGGTTCAAGCGATTCTCCTGGCTCAGCCTCCCAAGCAGCTTGGATTACAGGCACCTGCCTCTATGCCCGACTAATTTTAATTTTTTTGTATTTTTAGTAGAGATGGGGTATCACCATGTTGGCCAGGCTGGTCTCGAACTCCTGACCTCGTGTTCTGCCTGCCTCGGCCTCCCAAAATGCAGGGATTACAGGTATGAGCCACTGTGCCCAGCCTAGGAGGAGGTTTAAGGACTAAGATAATGTTCATAAGGTGGGAGACAGGGAAAGATGAGAGTGTAGGGAAGTTTAAATTTTTCCCTTGAATGTTTGATAATTTGAGTCTATAAAACAAACTGATGATATAGATTAATGGGAAAAGAGGCCTGCAAATTTTATTTGATGCACATGTGTGTGGGAGTCATACAAAATATAAAAACTCAAAGAAACGGCCAAATGGTTGCTTTTATACCACCTTGAGATTACAGAGATTACAGAAAGAATGGGGCCTGCATCTGGGCAAGACAGGTTATGGGAGGGGAGAAGAAGAGGCCTGACTAGCAAAAATGGTCTTGTTGAACAAATGAAATCTCACAGATAGTAGCCTTTAGAAAGAATAGATGGTAAAGGTTTCTGTCAGACCTTTAAAGATGTCAGACTCTTGATCTTTCCTAGATCTGGACAAGGGAGAGCACCAGAGAAAACCTGTCTGCGTCAATGCAGAGTCTCTGCAGATGCACATTTCCCCCACAAAAGACCACTTTGCAGGTCTTCTGAGCAGTCATTTCAAAATGTGTCAAATTCGGAATGAATTTTTTTGGTACCCTTCAAGAGCATTCAGTAAGTACTATGAAAACCCAGCTACAAGGCTAGAGTTTTGGTAATCAAATATTTGCTAGTGTCAGTCATCCAGGATGAACTAGAAAGGTCATTTCTATGAATGAGTCATGAAAGCATCCACATTTCCCCTTTTTCTAGCCCCTCACCAAACTATTATGGTCGCATTTCTGTAGGTAATCTGAGAAGGGCAACCCAGGTAAAGAATAACCTTGAGAAATTGATAATCTCTGGTAGTATCTGTCACTCCCTTCAAAATATCCACCAGGCTAGACAGGTTCCTCCTCCACCTGACACCTGCATCTTTATAGTCACTGTTACCTAGGGGTAATGGAGACAATGACAGATCAATGAAATTCTGGATCATTGGATACCATTAATCTTCTATTGGAAGGGGGACCAGGCAGAAGCCCAAAGTCACTCCTATCTAGACTCCCTCCCAACCTCCCATACTTTGTATCCTCAAAGAGAGCAGTCAGCATTCTCAGTGTTCTTTTCTTTTTCTTCTTCTCCTCCTCCTCCTTCGCCTCCTCTTCTCCCTTTTCCTCCTTCCTCTTCTTCCTTCTTCCTTCTTTCTTCTCCCCCTCCTCTTCCTCCTCTCCTCCTTTTCCTCTTCTTCATTCTCCCTCTCCTCCTCTTCATCCTCCCTCTCCTCCTCCTCTTCCCTCTTATCCTCCCCTCCTCCTCCTTCTCCTCCCACCACCTTTTCCTCCCCTACCTTCTTCTTTTCCTAAATAGAGATAGGGTTATGCTTTGTTGCCCAGGCTGGTCTTGAACTCCTGGGCTCAAGCGATCATTCTACCTCCGCCTCCCAAAGTGCTGGGATTACAGGCGTAAGCCACTACACATGGCCTATCCTTTAAAAATTTTTAATTCTATTAATCTTACTTTTCATTTCTTTTAAATAGAAATAGGGTCTCACTATGTTGATCAGACTGATCTAGAACTCCTGGCCTAAAGCAATCCTCCTGCCTCAGCCTCCCAAAGTGTTAGGATTACAGGTGTGAGTCACCACACTAGGCCAAGATTTATTTCTGTTATGAACTGAATGTTTGTGTCTCCCTTCCCCCCAGTTCATGTGTTGAAGCCCTAGACCCCAATGTGATGGCTATTTGGAGGAGGAGTCTTTGGGAGATAATTGGGTCTAGATTAGGTCATGGGGTAGGACCCTCATGATGGGATTAGTGCCCTTATAAGGAGAGAGAGAGAGAGAGAGAGAGAGAGAGAGAGAGAGAGAGAGAGAATCTTTCTTTCCATGAGTACATATGGAGGAAAGGACATGTGAGCACACAGTGAGAACACAGCTGTCTACAAAACAGAAAGTCAGCTCTCACCAAGACACCAAATCTGCAGACACCTTGATCTTTGAATTCCCAGCCTCTATAACGTGACTAATAAATTTCTGTTCCTTAAGCCCCCCAGTCAATGGTATCTTATTACAGCAGCCTGAGAAGATTAAGACAATTTCTTAAAGGTTCTTAGAGAAGATTTCATAGCTTTCTTTTATCTACTACTTAAAGGAGGGCAGGTTTCTGTACATCTTGTGTTTTCCAAGGTAGTTCTAATAATTTTAAAATTTCATTTTTTAAAATTAAGGCAATTCATACACGCATAGTTACACATAATTTTATTTTTATGCCTTTAATATTTTATTTATTTTTAACGTGCACTTTTATTGAACTGGTCTCAAGTCAGTGTACAGGTAACCCCTTGCTACTTTCACACCTCCACCCAATCCCAGGGAGACCAAAAGCCTTCATATATTTCAAGTTGGGGAATAAAAAGTAAGGCCACAATGGCTCATTCTAAATAAAACAGGCCAGATGTGGTGGCTAAAAAATTACTAAAAGGAAACATCAAGGGTAAGGGGAATTCTGGCGAAAGTGACCTAAGAGATTTTTGCTGAAGGCAGGCCAAGGAGATAAGAAATTGAGGGTGGGGATAGTGAATTTGATCAGACACCAAGAATGGGGGAGTTCTGCTAAACTGACCCAGTAGGACTCTTGCTAAAACTGGATTAAGTGGAGGCAAACAAAGAAGCCCAAAAGTCAGGGCCCGGTTGAGAAGAGTTCAGAAGAGTGTGACTTGAGTTAGGTAAAGAGAATGTGAATAAAACTCACAGGAGGTCATTGGTTTGACTATATTCCTTCACCAGGCCTGATAGACCACACCAA